GGGCTTCATGCATGCAAGGCAAGCGCTCTACCACTGAGCCACCTTCCCAGCCCTGGAAGAGTGATTTTTAATGAATTAGAAAGGCAGCTCGGGTTCATTCACGGAAAATCTTATTCTTAGGCAGTTGTCAAAAAATTCAGGTCATCAGATCCTACTAATCCTAGCTACTCAGGAGGCTGAGGTCTAAGGGTCATTGTTCAAAGTCAGTCTGAACCCAAAAGCCTGTAAGAATCTTATCTCCCATTAATTACCAGAAATTCAGAAGCAGAGATGTGATTCAAGTGGTGGAGCACCAGTGCTCAGGCCTTGAATTCAAGCCCTATGGCACACACACACACACACACACACACACACACACATACACACACACACATCACCACCACTACCACAAAAAAATCCATTTAGATTAATCTAAGTATCCAAAATACTTACCAGATTTCTTATTGTTTTGAATGATCCAGAAATTCTCCTCTTGAGAATAATAATAAAGCCAAGATTACTTCTATGATGTTGCAGCACTATTCGCCATAGCCAAGATATTACGTCAGCCCAAATAACCCTTGTGGAGTAATAGATCAAGAAAATGTGATGTGTATATATACACACACACACACACACAAATTTTAGTTATCTGTTATAAACAATAAATATCATTTGCAAAGAAATGAAAGGGCCTGGAAAAAAAACAAAGGATGCATATGTGGAACTTAGAATTTATTTATAGATAAGCAAACATTTCAGGGCCCTGTGTAAAACCTTTCACTGAAGTGTTAACTCAAGTGTGGCAGATTCATGGAAGAATTCAAGCAGTGTAATTCCTTCAAAAGGCTAACTCACAGAGCAACAAAATAAATACCAGGAAATGGGTACTCAAAGGAAGAGGAGATCAAGGAGAGGGCAGCAGATGAATAAAGTTTAATGCATATTCTCCCATGAAGAAATTTGAGGGAAGAAGTAGGTTGAGAATAGTGAAAGATTCATTAAATTCATCATGTTTCATTGGACACAACCTTGTATAAATGCTAAAAGATAACAAAACTATATTGTAAAAAAGGGAAAAAGTTGGAAACTCACACTTTCTGATTTCAAAATTTGATGCCAAACATGGTAATTAAAGAAGTATGAATTGACAAAAAAGAAGGCTTCCGTTCAATAGAATGTAATATAGTTTGTAGTCGCTGGGACTCTATGAAAGGTCAAAGAAACAGCTACAGTCAAGCCACTCACCTTTGCTAAAGAGTCTTCCTATGTTCTCCATGCTTCTTAACTCCATAAAAGCAATTTATGAGATCACTAACCCCTTTGAGACTTATTCCTGAAAGGGGAGCATAATTTGCTAATCGTTCCTGAGCATTGTAAAGCTCAAATCTGCTAATTGCAAAGTGCAATTTATGTTCTTGTATAAGGAAAGTTCTGTGCGATAAGTTTCTACAACTGATAACAAAATATTATACCTGTGGGATATGTTAATGGTCTTTTATTATTATACAGAACATATCTTATTATCTCAAGGCAGTGGAAATAATGGTTAAATGATTAATATTGGTTGTTAAATCTTTGAAACATTCACAAGATGATGTACACGTGTAGCTCTTTTATTCTTATCTTTATGGATATTTAAATTCACTATGGAAGCAGAATACACATTGAAAATTCAAACAAGATATGGCACTTTTAAACAAACAACACATCTATTTAACAAGAATACAGATGTTGTAACAGTATCTACAAAAGAGAGCATTCCAAAAAAGTTTACCATTTTCTGCTCCATAAATTTGTCCTATACACACAAAATGGACAACTGCTGTTTGGATTTTCAACAGCTTTGTGTTCAGCTAATCAAAAACATAAATTGTTTTATTTTACAGAATGAGAAATTGAAACATATGCAATGTATAATGACCAAATCAAGATAATTTGCATTTTAAAATAATTTAAAAATCTTTATTCACATGAAACTTGCAGAGGTTTATCGGGTATACTGTGATGTTTCAATATAAGTATCCATATGTACCAATGAAATCAAGTTACTTAACTTCATTGTTTTATTTTTAGAGCTCTCAAGCTCGTAATTATTCATTAAATATTTCATAGGTATTTGTGAATTATAGCCATGCTAACTGTAGTATAGAATATTAGAACTTATTCTTTCCATCTAAGAGTTTTATTACCCATGATCAACTCTCCTTCATTCTCTCATCACCCCGATTTCATACTCCCTAACAAGCACAATTCTCTATTCAGACTGGCATGTTTAACCTTCCACATTGAAATGAATATGTGATACATTTTTTTCACTGACTGGTTTATTTTACTTAGTAGTAAATTCCAGTTTCATGTATTCTAAAACATATGACATGTCACCATTCTCTGTATGGCTGAACAACTGTTTACCTTGTATATGAGATGCTTTTACCCATTTAGGTTCCATATTACAGCTTTTATGGAGCATGTACATGGTAAATGTTAATATTTCGTATTTTACAATTTCAGTTTCCCTTCTAGTTTACATACTCAAGTAAGGTAAAGTAAGTCTGTACATCAACATATTTAATTATTGGTCAAAACAGACATTAAACATAATTCAAGTTTTAGAACAATTACCTATATGTACCATATTTAAAATTTTAGAACATTTTCCTGTATATCACATATATGTCGAAGCCAACTTTTTCTATAACCATTTGTTGTAAAAGAAAATCTTTTCTGCATTGCATTTACTTTACTCCTTTGTCATTATACAGTCGAATTTATTTGTGTGTGTGTCTATTTTTAGGCTATACTATTCTGTTCCACTCTCTTCTATTTTGTAAATCTATTTTATCTATTATTTCACAAGCTTTGCTGATTACTAGATATCAGTGCTAATTTTTGAAACTGAATTTGTCAGTTTTCAAATTTGGTTTCTCAATATTGAGCTGGTTATTTTGGCTCTTTTACTTCTCAGTAAAACTGGGTAACATTATTTTACTGATATTTACAAAACAAATTACTACATGTATAACTGGTATCACCTATAAATAATTTTGGAAGAAGTGACATCTACACAATAATATTAAGTAGTTTTACTTTGCCTAGGTTTGGAATATCTATTTAGGTTTTCCTTTCAATAAGATTTTTTTTTATTGTGAGAATACCGTACAGAGAGGTTACAGTTACATGGGCAAGATAACGACTACATTTCTTATCAAGCATTGTTGCCTCCTCTTTGTTTCCTCTTCCCATCCCTCTCCATACTCCTCCTCCCCCCACTCAGTCCTCCCCCCACCCCTCACCAAAGTTGTTGCATATTTCTACATGAAATCTGAAATGTACTGAAAATATTTCATTTTTGTGGGCACCATTATAAATGACATTAGTTTTAATTGTTCATTTAACATGATTATTATTACACATACAAGTTATTTTTCATATTTTATTATTTATAATTAGTTGCAGATCAGAGTCATCTCCATCACCATCCCAATCGCATTTTCACAATGCTACATAGGAGAGAAAGCATGCTGTACATATCTTTCTGAGTCTGGCTTATTTTGCTTTTTTATTTTTTAATTTTTTTTTATTAATTTGGTTGGTTGTGGGGCTTGAACTCTGGGCTTAGGCGCTGCGCTGTCCCTGCACTCTTCAGCTCAAGGTGAGTGCTCTACCACTTGAGCCACAGCACCACTTCCAGTTTTCTGAGTGGTTTATTGGAGATAAGAGTCTCATAGTCTTTCTTGCCTTGGCTGGCCTTGAACTGCAATCCTCAGATCTCAGCCTCCTGAATAGCTAGGATTATAGGCATGAGCCAATGGTGCCCAGTGCTTTTTTAAAAATTTTTTTTATTGTAAAGATACTGTACAGAGGGGTTACAGTTACATAAGCAAGGTAATAAGTCATTTCCTTTTAAGCATTGTTAACCTCTCCTCTGTTTTTCCCCTACCATCCCTTACCTCCCTACTTCCCCCAACTCCCCGCACCGCACAAAGGTATAAAGTTCATTTTCAACACAGTGTCTTGTACATCTCATTGTTACACTAGGTCATCCGGTATCCTTATTTCATCATTTTGTTATTTCTTTTCCCCTCCCCACATTAGAAAACTGTATATACAAGATGCAGGACACAGGAATCAAATATAATTTTGCTTTTTTAATTTTTTTAGTTTTTGGTTGGTTGTGGGACTTGAACTCTGGGCTTGGGCGCTGTCCCTGTGCTCTTCAGCTCAAGTGAGCACTCTACTGCTTGAGCCACAGCGCCACTTCCAACAATTTTGCTTTTATATGGTGGTCTTCCCACTCCTTCCATCTTTTCTGCATACAGTATGATTTCTTTCATTACATGTACCATGTTTTCTTTATCTATTCAACATCCATGGGTATTTAGACTAGCTAGATGACTAGTGGCTGTTGTGAATATTGCCAGTCAACATGGACATGCAGGTCGCACTATTGTATGCTGTCTTTGATTCCTTCAGGTATATACAGGGGTGGTGATGTAGCAGGATCATATGGCATTTCCATACTTTTAGATTCATTTGTTTTTTTTGCTCATGAAAAACCTCTACAATGAATTATTCTTTGCTTAGTATTAATGCAGTACATAATGCACTAAGCAAATAACTTAGTATCATCATGTATCATCATGTAATGGGATGCACATGGAAATTGAAATGATGTGTGAGACATCAAAATTATTCTTTACCCTATGGATGCATGTAACAACAAAAACAACAACAAAAGGTCTAATGGGCCCCACACACTTGAAGGTACCCCTTCAATTGTCACATAGACATTTGGCAATGTAAGAATGACACAAACTTCACACATTTACACTGAACTTGAAGACAAGCAAAAATGAGTTCCTAAAGGACAATCAGTACTTTTATATCTATAGTTGGAGAACCAAGAAAATACTTCTACTTTCTGATGCGTCTTTTAGCACAGGACTTTGTAAGGCTTAATACATATAATAAACCATTACCTTTGTGTCATTTATTGCATAACCATTGTGTATTACACTTCAAATCGAAAGTTTGCAAAGGTTTCTCCACACTCTGTGCAAGGCACCTTTGACCTCTTGGTTCCTCAAGCTGTAGATAATGGGATTCAGCATGGGGATTACCAGGGTGTAAAATACAGAGGCCATTTTATCAGTCTCAAAAGAGTGACTGGATTTTGGCTGCACGTACATAAAGAATAGAGTCCCATATAATACCACTACCACTGTCAAGTGAGACCCACAGGTAGAGAAAGCCTTATTCCTGCCTTCTGCAGAATTCATCCTAAGAATAGCTAGAAGGATGAGCACATAAGACACGAGGACTATCGACAGGGATGACACCAAATTAAATGCTGAAAATATCAATATTATCAATTCCACATCCCAGGTGCTTGAGCAAAGCAAAGTCAGCAGGGGAAGACTGTCACAGTAGAAATGACTAATGACAGTAGAGCCACAGAAGGAGGAAATGAAAATTTTGATGGTGGTGATCAGAGAGAGAAAAGCACTGTAGAGGTAAGGGATGGCCACTAGTGTCCAGCACACCTTTTGAGACATGATGACCATGTAGAGTAGAGGGTTGCAGATGGCCACGTAGCGATCATAGGCCATGGCGGATAGAACAAAAAGCTCACTGATGATGAAAAAGATGAAGAAGGCTAGCTGCGTGGCACACAAGTTATAGGGGATTGTGTTCTGCTTGGTGACAAAATTTACCAACATTTGAGGTCCCACAGCTGTTGAGTAACCAAAATCAATGAGAGCCAGGTGTCTGAGAAAGAAGTACATGGGTGTTTGTAGCCTGGAGTCCACCTTGGTGAGGATGACCAGGCCCACGTTGCCCAGCACTGACATCGCATAGATGATGAGGAACAGCACAAAGAAAGGAGCCTGCAGGTCAGGGCGGTCTGTGACTCCCAGGAGGATGAAATCCTTGAGCACTGTGACATTCCCTTTCTCCATCCTGACCTGGAAGGAAATGCTCTGTGAGACAGTCATCCACAGCCACTGGATTTCAGGAGGTAACTCCCATGACAATGTTAACATCTGAGAATCATGTGTACATGCAATGAATGAGTGGTAGAGCACCCAGCCCCAGAGTTCAATCCCAAAACAAACAAAACCAAAAACAAACAACACAAAAAACAAACAACACAAAAAACATGCCACCATTTTTCTCTTTGACATTTTCGTTTATATATTAAAAAATCTATTTTATTGCCTTTAAATCAGTGTTACAAAGAGGTTACAATTCAACATGTCCGTTGATAAAGAAAATGTATCTTGTCAGTGTCTCCCCTTTTATCCCACGGTTTTTTTTTCTTTTTTTTTGGTCAGTTGTGGGACTTGAACTCTAGGACTGGGCCCTGTCTTTGAGCTCTTCAGCTCAAGGCAAGCATTTTACCACTTGAGCCACAGTACCACTTCTGTTTATCCGGAGTGGTTTATTGGAGATAAGAGTCTCATGGACTTTCCTTCCTGGGCTGGATTTGAACTACGATCCTATGATCTCAGCCTCCTGAAGAGCTACGATTACAGGTGTGAGCCACCAGCACCTGGCAACCTCATTTTTTTTGTATGTGTTTTTTATTTTAAAAATACTGCACATAGAGGTTACAGTTACTTGAGTAAAGTAATGAGTACATTTCCTATGGAGCATTGTTACCTCCTTTTGTTTTTCCTCTACCATCCCTTCCTTCCCCACCTCCCCACCTCCCTGACTCCTCCCTCCCTCCAAGTTGTAGAGTCCATTTTCAGCATAGTGTCTTGTATATCTCATTGTTAGCATCTCATTGTTGGTATAAGCCTGGGTCATTCTGGCATGTTCATGTACGTATTCTGCGCATCTTGATTGGACTCACCCCTGCATCACCCTTCCTCATCACCCTCTCCCCTCCTCCAAACAAACTCAACTCTATTTTCACACATTTGACCACATTCGCTCTCCTTCACATTCTGCATGCCAAATCCTGCCTTGTGCCATCCTAGGAGACCACAAGCACCTACAAGTGAAACTAAAACAATGAGATGTACAAGACGCTATGTCGAAAAACAAACTTTACAACATTTGCCGGGGTGTAAAGGGATATTGTAGTCCTGGAGATGGGAGGGCAGTGATGGTAGGGGAAATACAAAGGAAGAGGCAGCACTGCTTGATAAGAAATGTACTCATTACCTTGCTCATGTAATTGTAACCCCTCTGTACGGTATTTTCACAATAAAAAGTACTTATTTAAAAATACAAGATAAAAAATAAAACGATTTAAGAATGTGTGAAGATAAGAGAAATTTTATCACTTGACTGGAAATTACATGCCGTTACAGAAGCCCTGTAGAATCATTTATGCTCACATAGTATCCATACTGCACACCAGAACAACAAAATCTTTAGACTGCATCCCTGGTGGAGAATTCCAAAACAGGTTCAGCTGTCTCAAAGTTCATTCTTTAGAATCCCAGGAGAGTACAGAAATAATAGCAAATGGAAATATAGTCCCTTGCAACCACAAAGGAATAGAATAACAGTGTTAAAGTACTGTTATTCTAGAAAATAAAGTCTTGGAAATGCTCTAAAGTATGGTATAGGATATTAAGTCTATCATGGGTGAGTGACTACAATTATGCATACAATATCAATGAGCAAGAAAAATCATATACTATATAAAATATAAATTATGTATTACATACTGAAGTTCAGTTTCTGGAAATAACTAAGTAGATATAATTTCCAGTTCTAACCACTCACCTAACATGAGAAATAAGTCCTTGTTTTCCTGTAGGGCTACTAACCTGACGGCTATCAGGAGACTTTATGAATCTCTCTTCTTTCTGAAGCCTGCTTTTGGGAATATGAATGCAATTTTTTTGGTTATTCCCAAAGCAGCTGAGAAAAATCAGTGAGGTCCCTGGGTATTTGTTTACTATTAGGGGAATCTTTAATTTCCCGGTGGAGGAATTCTTTTATAGGATTGTTGATTTTCATTACTCTAAATCAAATATCTAGATTTAATTATAATAAGAGTTGGGTACATACTTTATCCACCTACAAATGTAGTTACCTCAACAGTCATCATTTCTCGCAATAGTACTTGAATCAAGTTTTTGTGTATGTATGTTGATTCTGGGGCTTGCACTCAGGGCCTGGATGCTGTCCCTGAGCTTCTCTGTTTTCAAGGCTAGTGCTCTACCACTTGAGCCACAGTTCCACTTCCAGTGTATTTGGTGCTTAATTGGTGATTAGAGGCTTTCCTGCCTAGACTAGCTTCAAACTGTGATCCTCAGATGTCAGCCTCTTGAGTAGTTAGCATTTCAGGTTTGAGCCACCAGAACCCAGTTTACACCAAGTTTTATGGCAGTGGACAATTTAGCATTTAAACTTGTCCTTCAGTTAATTTTAAATATGTAGAATGTGTAAAAGTTATAAATCTATGCCTGTTTCCTGTTTATGATTTTTTGAATCTTAAGTGGCATGGCTTCACAGAATCAGATTCACAATAAGCCATTTTCCCTCTAGTGTCTTGTACCATGTTGATGCCCTCTATGCTAGACCTTGTATTTTAGAGTTGTTGAGCAAATATTGATGATGTTAGGTTGAAAAGTCATGAGACAGATGAGACAGGAAGTTAACCACCAAAATGTTATTGCAACAGAAGTATATAAAGAAATGTTTATTGCCATATTTGATGACATGGTGATCAAGAAACATATTTTGTCCTGGTGCTGTGACTCGTAACTGTATTCCTCAGTTACTAAGCAAGCAAAAATGTGGATGATTGTTGTTTGCAAAAAAAAAAACTGAGTGAGATTCCATTTCAAACAAAAAAAGTGCAGTGTGGTAACATACACTGTAGTCATTGCTACACAAGATATCCCTGGATGACTTGGGCAGAGTCTCAAAGCCCTTTTCAAAAGATAACTAAAGCAACAAGGAAAAAGAAATAATTCGAATGTGTTCCTAGTATGACTACAAGCCCTAATACTGCCCCAAAGCAAAAATTACAAGAAGCAAAACTGTATAATTTTCTCAATACAAAAATACTCCCATGATTAATAAATCATTTCAATGAATATAAATCAATGAATCCGTACACTTAATTTGTGATTGTGTAAGGCATTTATAAAATTGTTTACTTTTGAAATGTATAATATTTATTATTTTTAATCAGCTGGGTGCTGGTGGCTCTGGTCTATAATCCTAGCCATTCAGGAGGCTGAAATCTGAGGGTCATATTTAATGCCAGCCAAGCAGGAAAGCCCCTGAAGTTATTATTGCCAACTAATCACCCTAAATCTAGAAGTAAACTGTCGCATAAATACTAGAGTGATGCACTTGAGTAATAGAACTCAGCAACAGATCCCAGGTACAGAATGGAAGCCTCAGACCTCCCACTCCCCCAAGCCCAAATTATTTTTAATGATTAGAAATGTAAATTGACTACTGTAGCTCAAATTGCTGTTAGGATAGTTTGAAAGAAGTAGATGTTTAAACATCTGCATTTCAGTTAACCCAAATCCATATATAGAGATAAATAATTCTCTTTCAAAAATAGCAAATGCATAAACAAAACTTGCCTAGCATGGATAATATGATCAGAGCTATAAATCATTGGTCCTATCTTCCTAAGAGCTTGGTAGTGGGTCCTGCTTGGTTGTTGGAATTTATCACATCTGATACAAGTATGGTAAGAGTTAGGTGAGTGTGTGTATGTGAACATGTCTCATTGTGGAATGCTTGGAACAGATTATTTTATTTAGTGAATGCATTGTAAAGATTGTGTGTGTGTGTGTGTGTGTGTGTGTGTGTGTGTGTGTCTGTGTGCATTGTGATGGCGTAAGTCCATTTGTACGCTGGAAAGTCAGAGGACCAGACAATGCTCAGGTTAAGAAACAAGTTGCTTCAGAACAAGTAGTACCAATGATTTGGTGTCATGCACAGGCTGAAGGACTTTGAGACTCCCTGGAAAGCGCTGAATGTGTTGTAAGCATTAAAAGCATAAGAAGCTGGAACCTGGGCTGGGAAGGTGGCTCAGTGGTAGAGCGCTTGCCTTGCATGCATGAGGCCCTGGGTTCGATTCCTCAGCACCACATAAGCAAAAAGGAAAAAGCCAGAAGTGGTGCTGTGGCTCAAGTGGTAGAGCACTAGCCTTGAGGGACAGTGCCCAGGCCCAGAGTTCAGGCTCCAGGACAGGACCCCCCCCCCAAAAAAAAGAAGCTGGAACCTGATGTCCACAGATATCCACAGCAGCATGCGATGCTCTCCCTCTGGAACAATGAAGGTCTCCCAGTGTTGTCACTTTCATTCCATCCGGTCTTCTCACCTATTACTTGTTGACTCCCATATGCAGGGAGTGGCTTTCCCCTATGATGGTTATTCTGTATGGAATTCCTTTCTGAAAGCAGCTGCCCACATCTGCCCAGTACACCCATGTTTTACTAATCTCCTAGACATGCTCCAATACCATGAAGGACAATCAAGATTCACCATCACAATGTTACTCCAAGTGGAAAAAGAGATTGACATGTGTGATTTTACAAAAAGTATTGTCATTAGGAAGCTTTCATGAATTGCTGGTGTCTGTCAGCTCATCATCATGAAGGAAGAAGTAGGAAAGAGGATTAAAGTCAGAGAAAAGTATTTCAACAGCAAGGTATTAGTAATAGATTTGCTGGAAATAGAGCTAGGAGAGTGGCTGTGGGCAATCTCTAGAGGAAGGAAAAAAAGCAAGAGAATAGATCATTTCCTGAGCTTCCAGGAGGAAGAGACTGCTGATACATCTACCATACACATTAAAAAATAAAGTGCTCAATGGTTAAAACTACAAATCTATTGCTAGTATTGAGATCAGGTATCCCAATCACTGTGGGATATGCATTGCTTTCACCTGTTCTGCTGCTGTTTGACTACATTAGAAACTGACTCATTGACCTAAGAACCTTAGTTGCTGAATGTAATTAATTTATGACTCCTCCACCCCCAAAATGTATTTTTTCCTTTACCTCACATGTCAGTGCTTTTCTTTTTCACTCGATCATTAATACATTAGTAATAGTTTCTCTATACAGATTTGGTAATAACTAGGCACAATTTTTTTCACCCCTCTGGAATAGTTGGGAGAGCATGTGAGTCTTTCAGGAAACAGGGCCTTGTCTTGCTTTTTGTTTGTCGATTTTATGTTCATAGTCGAATAACATTTTACTCTAAATCATATCAAATAAAAATACTAGAAGTGAAGTTTAATGTATGCTTTCAAAATAAAAATTTTCACTGTATTTGTTCTTGGTTCCCTGTTATTATATATACAATTATTTGAATTAGGGGAGGGGAGGGGAACAACAGAATGGTGAGACAAAGGACAAGGCGGGGTGGGGGATAATCCAACAGTGGTATACACAAGACAATATGTTGGAAATTATCTGTACAACTTTGGTGGGGGTTGAGGGGAGGGAAAGTAGGAGAAAATGAGGGAAGGGATAACAAGAAATGTATTTATTACCTTACTTATGTAACTGTAACCCCTCTGTACATCACCTTGACAATAAAAATAATAAAACATATTTTAATACAGCAGGTTTTAATATGAGGTGCTAAAATTGTCCAGAGATGAGTTAAAATAGTAATACAGATTGATTCTGATCACATATATGAAAATAGAATAATAAAATCCACTATATTGGTTTAAATGGGGGTGTAAAAGAAAGAGTAATAGAAACAATCACAAGAAAGAAAAAACATGGGGGGGAGGGGGAGATGGGAAGGGGAAAGAAAGGAGGAGGCAACAATGCTTGATAAGAAATGTACTCATTACTTTGCCCTTGTAATTGTAACCCCTCTGTAGGTATTTTCACAATAAAAAAGAAAGAGTATAGAGTGAATTAGATCAAAGTACATTCCATGGATTTCTGGAAATAAAACAATGAAACCCCTCTGAGGTTTTAAATTTTTTAGTTGACATTAGCACATTCCTTTGTGTGGATGCACTAAGCAAGAGATATGAAAACAGATTTTTTTCTATTTGCTTTAGTTCATTTTTCACATGTTCTAATTATATATGAATTTAACATTTATGTCTAGTATGTATGCTCTTCTAAAAGTAACTTTTCTGATGCACATTTTATCTTTAAGAAAAGATAGAGATGGTTCCTTAGAAATTCAGAATCTGTTGAATAAGATGCTATGAAATAAAAACATCATTTTCGCTGTCTGAATACAAAATATCATTTGGAAGGAGAAGATTCTTAGCCTTGATATCAACCAAGAAATGATCCCCACACATCTGTACCACCTGTTCCCTGGCTTTAGGACATATAAGAACCATTTGACATATTATATTGTACTTTTGAAACATACCAATTTCATAATTTATCATATGCATGTGATGCTTTCTTTTCTGGGCACTGAAATCTGGGATACAATCAATTACATTTTATGTCAAAAGAAATGAAGCAATTCCTCTCCCCAGGTATTGTCACTTTCTTTCGAGAACAGTATTTTAAGGAAGGGAACCAAACCTCTTACATAAATGGAGTTGCAGTTTTCAAGTTAACAGGGGTTTGCATGACAGGCAGGAGCTCCTGAGGAATGTTTTCAAAGCTTCCTTTACATCCTTGTTCCTCAGGCTGTAAATCACAGGGTTTAGCATGGGTATCACTAAGGTGTAGAAGACAGAGGCCATTTTGTCCGTGTCCAAGGAGTGGTTGGTCCGGGGTTGCAGGTACATGAAAAGAAGAGTCCCGTAGAAGATCGTGACTGCCGCCAGATGAGAACCGCAGGTGGAAAAGGCTTTCTTCCTCCCCTCCGAAGAGCGTATCCTCAAAATGGCCAGGATAATGTTGAAGTAGGATATCAGAACAATAATCATGGAGAAAAACAAATTGGTCCCGGAGAAGAAGAACACAGCTGTTTCTGGAGCAGAGGTGTCTGAACAGGACAATGCTAACAAAGGGATGTCATCACAGTAGAAATGGTTGATGACGTTGGAGGAGCAATAGGACACGGAGAACACACAAGAGGTGACCACCACCGCGGTGAACAGGCTGTAGAGGTAAGTGAGAGACACCAGCAGGACGCAGACCTGCCGGGACACCACCACCGTGTACATCAGAGGGTTGCAAATGGCCACGTAGCGGTCATAGGCCATCACCGCCAGCATGAAGATCTCAGCCACAATGAAAACCAGGAAGCCGCCCAGTTGGGTGGCGCATTCATAGTACGAAGTGCTCTTCTTGGCTGCTAAGAAGTTGATCAGCATTTTAGGGGCAATGACAGTAGAGTCCCCGAGGTTGATGATGGCCAGGTGTCGCAGGAAGAAGTACATGGGGGTGTGAAGCCGAGGATTAGTGCTGGTGAGCGTGATGATGCCCAGGTTCCCAATGACCGTCAGTCCATAGATGACCAGGAAGACAAGAAAGAGGGGGATTTGCAGCTCTGCGCGCTCAGAAATTCCCATCAGGATGAACTCGGCCACGCGGGTATGATTCCCAGAAGCCATTTATGTTATATTCATCTTAAGAGGGAAAAAATATATTCATAAAATAGTCCAAATTACTGTGTCTTTTAGATGCTGCTATTAAATGTTTTATTAAAAACCATCAGTTTCCTTGGTCAAACTAGACTTCAATTATGGCTTTTCCCCTCCCATCTTTTCAGGAGCCCTAGAAACACAAGGGACAAAACCAAGTTCTTGGGCATTGCTTGGTTTTGACCTTTTGCTTATTCATTGTATGGTACTTGGTAAAGTGAACATATAGTTCACTATTGTATTGGTTAATATTTTCATGAACAAGTGTTGTACAACATTTGATGCATACAACAGTGTGAGTGTGTGTGTGTGTGTTCCCAGTGATAAAAGAGATTGGCCTTTTGGGACTGATAAGCCAAAATGACTTCAGGTCATGCTATTCCCAGATTTCCCTGTTATTTTGTCAAAATTATCCTGTCATCGGACTCCTAGAAAATTTCAGTATTTGTGAGAAATGTTGTCTATAACCTGAGATTTTCTTTGTTCATTTCTGTCATTCCCTTCTTCTTTTGATGTTATTAACATACTTATATCCCAATACTTACCCTTTGTTGTGTCTTTCAGAAATGCGTAATCCTTTTAAATCTTATTTCTTTCACCAAATAGTTCTTCCTACTTTGTCTCCTCTCCTTCCTCAAACGCCTCTTATTTTCTTCTAGCACTCCTTCCTATCTATTCCGTTCACAGTTATTCCAGTGCCCCTTCAATTAATTAAGGGCTGTTCCAATTTATTTTATTTTACATCTGCACTGTCCCTGAGCTTTTTGCTCATGGCCAGTACGACTTGAGCCTGATCTTCACTTTCAGTTCACTCCAACTTATTTCTTTTAACTTTATAATTAGTATCTTACCTTTCATGTCTTACTTCCAAAAATATGAGTGTGAATAAGGATCAAATAAAAAATAAATCTTAATGATTTTGAAATTAAATTTTACTGATCTAGGAGGTGATATTTGGTTCTTTTTACTTTCATTCTTAGAGATAAACCCAGAGCCTTTTGCACAACAAACAATCACTCTTCCACTGAGCTTCTCCCTAAGCCCTTGGGATTTGTCTTAATTTTTTTTTAGACCTGTGCTGTGTTTGGGACAACCTCCCCCCCGAAACTTTCCACATATATCTGAGAGTCTACCAAATAAATAATTTCAGTAACATTTTCAACTTACAGTTTTACAATCTAAATAATGCAAACATAAATATTAAAAATTCTCATTTTTAATTTGCAGTGATTTTGTGAGCCTTTCTTGGAAACTTCAGATATTTCAGAGACATTTGAGAAACTTCCTTTGTGGGGGTTAAAGCCTCTGCTATAACTTTTGCCAGTTCTGAAGCAGAAAAGTACATCCTTTTACATGCTATGGTGAGCTGCAGTGAGAAGTACACTTGTCTGCAGTCAGAAATACACCTGTCTCATTCATCCACTGGGACTCTGGCCATCAACTTCCATCCCCGTCCTTGCCATAATCAAAATGTCAGCAGGTGAAGCCACCTGGAAGGCAGGCACAGCCTTTTAGTCTGGAGTCTAATTTGAAAAGTAAATCATTCAAATGTACTTGCAATTTACATTTAGACATAGACATAAGAAATGTTTTCTTCTGTAGCCTACCTGTGCAGCGGCCTGCTGAGATGAGGCCCTCTGTTGAGGCAGCTGCACAAAGCAAGGAGACAGATTTTATGTTGCTCACGTCCCTGAAAGGCTCCACCCTGAGGTGCTTTCTGGAGAGCCAAGTCCCCGAACACCACAAATAAAATTTCCAGAGGGAAAGAAAGATAAATGAAAAATAGCGTGCTCATTACTCAAGCCCACTCTCAGAATTTCACACTGAGTAAAACGTGAAGGTTGCCTTGGATTTCATTAGTTATGTTGAATAACAGAGTATTTATTGAATAAAACACACAATATGTATATAATATATATCATTTATGCATTAATATGTGTATAGATTTATATAATATATGCATGTATTAGACATTTTATATATATGTACATGATATACATCTAATAGATACTATATGTAATATGTGTAATGCATAATACATATGTGTTATATACTATAAATGTACATAATATACATAATATGCATATATGTAGAAAATATATCTCTATATATAATTAATATGTTATGTATGAATATATTAACATATACTGCATCTATTATATTATACCACACATGTAGATGATACATTATTGCTTAAATTATCTTACAGTGCATACTTCATACAAGGAGAATCTATTAGCTTGAGCAACTGTTACCAAATATTTTATAACTCCTGTCTTCACTGTATTTGATGTTGGTATAATTTGTGGAGGGGAAGGGATAAAACAAATTGTTTAAATAGGGATACAGGTGGACCCATTGCAACAATGAGATGTACAAGACGTTATGTCAAAAAACGAACTTTAAAACTTAGGTGGGGTTCATTTCACCTAACATCAACTTATCTGAAATAAACAAATGCTTAAACAGGGATACAGGTGGACCCATTGCAACAATAAGATGTATAAGTTATGTCGAAAAATGAACTTTACAACTTTGAGGGGGGAGGGTGGCCGTGGATGGGGGAGGGAGATGGGAAAGGGAAACAAAGGAGAAGGCAACAAGCTTGATAAGAAATGTACTCATTACCTTGCCCATGTAATTGTAACCCCTCTGTAAGGTATTTTCAAAATTAAAAAAAAAATGATCCTTGCCTTTTGAGTAGCTAGGCTTAAGGCCTACAGGCTTACAGGCCACTGGTGCCCGGGTAAATTACAAGCATTTTCTTTAAAAATATTTTATTGTATTTTACATGATACCTTCACTATGAACAATTTCAGTGTGAAATACAGAATGGTAAATATAAGTATAAAGTTTTACTACTGAAATCTAGAACTCTGACTCTTCATAGTTGAGATTTCAAGTCTATTAGCAACACCCCATTTGCACCAACCTTCAGCTCAGTGTAACCATAATATCACTTTCTTATTTTGAAATATTACAACATTTACATAAATAATTCCAGATAATGCACTGGAATATATAAATATCTTATATATTATATGGACATATTAGGAAAGAGTGTTTGGAACTAATTCTATTATAAAAATTCACAGATACACGTATTTAATTACATTGACTATCATGCATTATGGTGAAACACAAATTTATGTACTCAACAAAGTAGACTCCATTTATAAGCAATTTAAGTTTGTATGATTCCACTATAGAAGTCTAATTCTGTAAATTTACTTTTTTCACACTGTGGATGCCTTGGGCTTCAAATAATGTTAATATATTTAGCTAGACATTTTCTGATTTTGTTAAATATGCAAACTTGTGAAATATTTCCAATTTATTTTCTAAATGTCAGTAACTGATATAAATTCTACGGGAGGGTGGAAATTTTTTCTTTCCTCAATAAAATTTTAAATTTGATTCACTTTTATGAGCATCTAAGAATACTTACTATTATTTTATGTTAACATTTTCCAGATAATTAAAGAAATAGGATTACCAGGGATGAATTTTTTCTTAGTAAAATCTGAATATTTTATCCTGTTATCACTGGAGATTCTATTACTTATTAATTCAACAGAAGTATCTGCTTTCTCAAGTTGTCTGGTCTTCGTTAACATTGTGATAGATTTCTATGATATGTGCTTAGAAATATTTAAACCATAAATTCACTATCCTTTGTAATTTTAAGTTTTGTTTAAAGATTTCTATTCTTTATAGTACTTTATTGTACGTTATGTGCATCTGTATGCATATATAAAAATAATTACCAATAAAGGAGATCCTAATTTGCATTGTTTTAATATGTACTGATAATCAATAAAATAAATAATAAATAAATTAAAAAATAACATCATAGGTGCACATGTGTTTGTTTTACATAATTTCAATTTGTAAGCACATGTAGAGATGTATGCATAGATTATCATGAATGTTGTATAAAAAGAAAGAGGTGTTGCAGTTCTTTGGAAAATGTAACAACAGGGAAGACAATGTGGCCCATAATTTTATCTTAAAATATAGGAACAGAATATTTAGTGAAGTAAGACAGACCCCCAAGAAACATAGGTTCCATAGTTTCCCTTATTTGCAATAATTAGTATATGCCTAGGATAATCTTAGCAGGTGAGCAGAATAGCTCAATAGCTATGTACATATGACCATATAAGATGATGCTAAGCGAAATGAACTCCAAGACATGGACACAAGAAGTTTTTCTTTGTTGTTGTTTTTAATGTACTATGTGATATTTTGTTTCTTTTGTATGGTTTTTCCCCTTATGGTATATCCCGTTGTCACTGTATTTGATTCTGGTACCCTAGTATTGTATATATGCTTATTTGAATTAGGGAAGAGAAGGGGAACAACAGAATGGTGAGACAAAGGACAAAGGGGAACCAATACAACAGTGATAGACAAGAGACAATATGTTGCAAATGATCTGTACAAGTTGAGAGTTGGGGGATGGGGGCAGAGAAAGGAGAAAAGTGAGGGGAGGAGTAACAAGTTTGACAAGAAATGTACTTATTACCTTAGTATGAAACTGTAACCTCTCTATACATCACTTTCACAATAAAGAGAAAAAAACTTAAAAATACTAACATTAAATTAAAATAAAATATAGGCCCAGAAGAGAATCGTGAAATGCATTTGATCGGATGTCTTCCTCCTCTTCTAGATTCTGAGCACCAGTTCCATCCTGTGTGGTTTTTTTTTAATAGGAGAAGCACACGTTCTTGATGAACCGCGTTTTCCCCAACACTTTGTGCATGGCTGCCTGTACATCCCTGTTCCTCAGGCTGTAGATCACGGGGTTCAGCATGGAGATCACAATGGTGTAAAAGAGCGACACGATCACGTCATGCTCCAGCGCATAATTAGAGCTGGGCCTGACGTAGGTGAACACAGCTGTGCCCTGGAAAACCGACACTGCCGTCAGGTGAGAGCCGCAGGTAGAGAAGACCTTTCGCTTCCCTTCAGCAGAACGCATCTGCAGGATCGCAGCCAGAATGAAGCCGTAGGAGACCAGGACAATCAGGATGGTGACCAGCTCAATAGACCCCGCGCAGTAGAAGAGGAGCAGCTGGTTTAAATGAGTGTCAGAACAAGAAATTGCCAGGAGAGCTGGGATATCACAGAAGACGTGCCTGATTTCGTTGGAGCCACAGAAGGACAGCCTGAAAGTGGCCACCGTGTGAATTGTGGCATGGATAAAGCCAGCGATAAAGGAAGCCACGATGAGGGCCACATAGACTCTGGGTGACATGCTCACTGTGTAGAGAAGGGGGTTGTAGATGGCTACGTAGCGATCATAAGCCATGACAGCCAATAGAAAGCATTCTGTGGTCCCACACGTCACAGCAAGAAACAACTGCGCCGCACAGCCAGACAGCGGAATGACTTTCTTCCTTGACATCAGATCTGCTAACATGTTTGGGGTGATGAGAGAAGAATAGAAAGCATCTATGGAAGACAAGACGCTCAGGAAATAGTACATAGGGTTGTGGAGTCGAGAATCCCCAATGACCAATACAATCAGTCCTAAATTTCCCACAAGGGTGAAAAGGTAAATTAGCAGAAACAGGAGAAAGAAGAAAACCTTCAGCTGAGCGTTGTCTGTGAAGCCTTTCAGTATGAACAGAGTCACTTCAGTGATATTCTTCATGTTGAAATCTGAGGACATCCTTGAAAACATTTTTTAAAAAATGACAGTCATATTAAAGAATGTATTAAAGAGGTGTGTGCTATTGACAATGAATAATGACTACATCTGTATATATACATATAGGGCACACATAGGTGTGGGTATGTACATAGGTGTACATAGATGGGTGTGTACAGGTGTATTTGGGCTGTGTGGTTTCCCAGAAGCAGATTAGTAGAGAGTGACATTAAAAGTGATCAAATAATCTTGCCATTCATTGCTGCACCAGGTGGACCGTAAAAATGTTTTACACAGTGACTGGAACTCAGGCTATTTTTAAAATTTCAACTTTTTATCGCCAAATGGCACTCTTTTCAAAGTAAATACCAGAATGCAAACTGGATGGCTTAAAACATTTCTTCAGACATCTAAACACTTGAGCTGATAGCTCAAGCAGATTACAAAATAGAATCACAGTTCTGCATCTTTCAACCATTGTGTGGAATGGTTTACTTTCATCTAGTTTCCTGAGGCATGTGAATTTTGATATTTATATTGTTTAAAAGTTTATTATTGATGAGGAAAATTAACAAATATAATAATTTGAATTAAAAAAATTTTAAATTAGACTTGCTAGTCTCATGATAAATGTCAATACAATGTATTCCATGCTTTGCCAACATGCCTTATATGGGTTGGTGTACCTTTAGAAAATTAAAAGATTAGTAAATTCTACAATTGTTTGAAAAAAGACACAAACATCATCGCAATCAAAGTTCTCCATTATAATTGAGCTTAATTTGTTTCAAGTAAATATCATGTTTCAGCTAAATTTGTGTTGAGAAAAAAATGTCTGCTAGATACTAAACAAAAATTTGGATTGTAATTCATAAGCAACATCATTACACCATGCAATTCATAGTCATGTACAGAAAACCACTGTGATTCTTGAAGATTGAATAATATGGGATGAACTTCTGGAATGCACATAAATCTAAATCTATAAATCCAACTTGAATGAAACGAACAAAACTTTGTAAACTTTGAATAGCTTGACTTCTATGATGAATCAGTGAATTTGATAAAGAAGAGCTTACAATAGCAGCCATTGATTGGACATCTCATGCAGAAATGAACTTTGGGGAACATTATGTCATTTACCTAACAGTAACAGCCAATATTCAGTGCAAACTCTGGCACTTCCCTCATAGTCATCTTTTCACTATCCTCTGCTGTTTTATGACTCTCCTGCCTCATTATATCAAAACAAATACTGTAATTGATGTTTTAGAAACTCAAAATGCTAAACCTATAAAATAAGTAATAAAAATGATTACTGAAGTAAAAAACAATACAGAAATGTTAGGTATTATTTGTCATAATATCGGTGTAAAGATCCAAATAAATATATCTAAAGTTTCCTTACCTTCTGTTAATCTGTAAGAAACTGTCTTTAATGTAGAGTAACTTCATTAGGAAAGCACATACTTCATTCAATGAAAACACGTACTGTCAAAAAAGCCATAAGTAGTTATAGATATTTAAATTCAATATTTTATAGTTTTCTTATATAGTTTATGTTTATATTTTCTTATCTCTTCTAGGAAGATTTGGTATTTAATTCTAGGCAGAACTCTGAGTAAATCAAAAAGTACAAGTAATTGGAGATGTAGTATTTAGCAGTGAAAATGTGTAGCAGAAAAATAGCCAAGAGAACTTAGAAATTTTCAGTGGTAACCCCCAGAATACACTGCTATTTATTGTATATTTTCTCAGGATGAGCATGCTAAGGTTTCAGAACAGTGTCAATATGGCTGATTTAAGTTGTTTGTATCCACTGATTTAACTATGAGGAATCCCACAGGAGAGGCTCTGAGGGGAATATGCCCAATTAATTTTTGATTTAATACAGTGTAGTTGTTTAACTCATAATGACATTTAAAAATTAGGGAAATAAGGCTCTACCTGCTGATGTGTATTGAGTGAATGGTATTATTTAGCCTTGATCTAAAGTGCTTCTGACTTGCATTTTTCCAGATGACTTATAATGGTGATGACCTTTGTATATGCTTATTGACCATATAAGAGGATATTCAAGTTCATTATCAATTTATGTATTAGCTATTTAGTTATTATGTGATAGGATCAACATTTACTTTTCACATTAACTCTCTACTAGATGTTTTGCAAATACTTTATCATTTGCCTTTTCAGGGTGGTCATTAGTCTTTGTAATGTACAGTCTTAGAAGACTGTAAGTTTGATATAGTTTATCTCTTATAATTTTATTTTTGTTGCTTGAATTTGTATCGTATCTTGGCTTTGGTGTCTCTGAGTTTCTTCTCTCAATATAATTCATTCAAGGTCTATCAATTTTTCACTAGATGACATAATATTATTCTTTTTATACATTTTTATAATAAAAATACTATACAGAGAGGTTACAGTTACATGAGCAAGGTAATGAGTACATTTCCTATCATTGTTACCCTCCTTTGTTTTTCCCCTACCATCCCCTCCCTCCAACCTCTACAACTACACTCCCCTCAATATTATTATTTATGATGAATGAATAAAATTCCTTTGTCAAATTGTGTGTGTGTGAATGTGCATGCACACATGTGAGAGTAATTATCATGATCCATTCATCAATTGGAGGACATCTGGGCTATCATAAGTTGGCTATGGTAACTAGAGCTACAATGAACATGCATGTGCAGGTGCTCTTTTTATGTCCTGACTTGCAGTTTTTGGATAAATGTTCCAAAGTGGTATGATGGATCATAGAGTTATTCTACTTTTAGTTTTCTGAGTAATCTCTATACTTTCCATTTTTGTGTTTGTTTTTCACACTCTTATAGTAAACCATCTATGTGACTCATTGTTTCTGGGATGTCAATTGGACTGCATTGATCAACTGTTCTTCATTGTATTGGTATAATTGATTTCTGAATTTCTTATATTTATTTAAATGAAATTTATTTTAAGTGATAGATAAAGACGTCAGGGGTAAACATATGTGAATGATGAAGCATTTATATGTACATAGACATTGTATAGTATGTATTGTGGTATAAGCATTTTCTATCATAAAAGATTATCATTTTAAAAATAAAACATTTTTACTCCTTATTGTGATCAACCTACCTGGTAAAAACACAATAGAAATTATTTCTATCTAATTGATGAACATTCTTCATCCTCTTAATCTCCCAGTGTGCGATGATAACTTTTGTCGGTATGTTCTACTACTATATACTTTTTTCTGTTGGTCGTAAAGCTTGAACTCTGGGCCTGGACGCTGTCCCTCAGCTCTTCAGCTCAAGGCTAGTGCTCTACCACTTGAGCCACAATGCCCACGTCTGGCTTTTTCTCTGTACATGGTGCTGAGTAATCGAACCCAGAGCCTCATGCATGTGAGGCAAATACTCTACCACTGAGCCACCTTACCAGTCCCCTCCTATTTTTAACTTTTATGAAATCAATTTTAATACACTTTGTATTATATTTGACTTTACATGCAATAATACAATCTCTCATCATTCCATCTTAAGACTAAAAATTAATACATTCTGTAAATCCTACCATTTATTTATACATCATGGGTGTATAAATATGTCCATCATACATGATGGACACTTTGGTTGCTTCCAGATTAAATCTATTGTAAAAAGTGCTGGAATGCAAATGGGAGTGTAGAATTCTTTTTCAATCACCATTTTCAATCTTTTGGATATGTACTTAGCATGGTATAGCCAGATCACATGGTAGAGTTCTTCAATTCCTTATCAATACCTATCATTTTAAGTTATGTTTAAAGACTTTTTCTATGTTGAAACATACACATTGACACATACATTTATATAAACACTCAAGACTATTGCTTTTTGGTTAACTTATAATATGCACAGATGCCCTGTATCAATGGCTATGATTAAATTTTCACATCCGAAGACATAACCATATGAAAGTAATAAAGACAGTCTTTTACTCAAAATTAGAGACATTGTGGAGCTTTGTCTGCCCAGATTACTCTCAATGATGATTCTCCTACCTCAACATCCTGAGTATCTATGATGATAGGAGTGTGAGCCCCAGCTTTTCATGAATTTTTTAATATTTAATTTTTATTGTAAAGATACTGTACAGAGGAGTTACATTTACATGAGTAAGGTAATGAGTACATTTCCTATGGAGCATTGTTACCCCTTCCTTCCCCCCCCCCACTATCTCTTCCTACCCCACCTCCCCAACTCCTCCTCCCTGTACATCCAAAGTTATAAAGATCATTTTCAACATGGTATCTTGTACATCTCAATGTGTCAACCAGTATTTGTTATTTTTGTTATTTTGTTATTTTTCCTTCCCTTCCCCAAATTAGAAATATGGATATGCAAGATGCAGGGCACTGGAATCAAATACAGTGACAACAGGGATTATACCATGGGGGAAGAACACACACAAGAAACAAAAAAAATCACATAGTTCATTAAAAACAACAGCAAAGATAAAACTCCACAAAAATCAAGCAAAACACTCTTGTGTTCCTCTCTTGGGGTTCCTTTCGCTTAGCCTCATCTTATATTGTTGTAAGGTGAGTCATCCCAGAAGACACATTTTGAAATATGAAATATTGGGGTCTTTTATACAGTTAACAGGCCGTGTGCCACCTGTTGTTTCTAAGGCCTGCAGCCCCCAAACACACAACACACGCCCATCACCTGGGAGGTAGGTGATGGGTAGGGGGCATTCTTCCCCCAGCATGAAGACAAGATGCCAGACCCTACAATCCACCGTGTGATCAATATGGCACCGGCCAGACCTGACCTCCTTACTTCAATGTAGTCATATGTACATAGTTTTTTACCTTTTCTGCTTGTCCGGTAAGATTATCCTAGACAAATACTAGTCATTACAAATAAGGGAAACCATGGGACCTGTCTGTTAACAGTTATAAATTCATGAAAACATAGGTCCCATGGTTTCCCTTATTTTCATGAATTTTGAGTTGATATAACTGG